AGGGAGGGGAAGAGAGGAGTGTGAGGGTGGGTGTTGTGAGGTGGCCCAGGGAAGGACCTCCTGAGAAGGTGGCATTGGAGTAGAGATCTGGAGGAGCCAAGGGGGTGAGCTGTGCAGATCCTTGGGGAGAAGTCCGTCCACAAAGAGGAAACAGCATGGGCACGACTCGGGGTCAGGGCCAGCAAGGAGGCCACGGCAGCTGGAATGGAGGCTGGGAAGGAAAAACAAGAGGCGCAACAGCGTGTGACATATTACGGATTGTGTTCGAGGAAGCACAAGCATACACATGTGTATGCAGAGCCCGTCGCTAGGGAGATGATAAGTGTTCAAGGAATCAGTAACTGCCACGAGCTCCAGAGACAGGAACTGAGATACAGACAGGTGGAAGAGAGGCATTTGCTTTTTTTTACTTGTTAAATTTTGTCAGCATATAGTAGGTATATATATTTACAGGATACACAAGACGTTTTGACACCGGCATGCAATGATTAACAGCCACATCAGCAGAATGTGCCATCCAGCCTCTCAAGCATGTATCCTTTGTGTTGCAAACAGTGCAATTACACTATTTATTTTAAAATTTACCATTATTATTGACTATAGTCACCCTGTTGTTCCATCAAATACTAGGCCTTCTTCATTCTATTTTTCTTTTTTCTTTTCTTTTTTTTTTTTTTTTGCTTGTTAACCATCACTATTTTCCCCAACCCCCTGCCCCACTCCCCTTCCCAGCCTCTGGTCACCATCCTTCTACTCTCTGTCCATGAGCTCCATTGTTTTGATTTTTGGAGCCCACAAGTAAGTGAGACCATGTGGTGTTTGTCTTTCTGTGCCAGTTTATTTCACTTTACATAATGTCCTCTAGTTCCATCCATGTTACTGCAAACCGTAGGATCTCATTCTTTTTGATGGCTGAATAGTATTGGATTGTGTACATGTACCACATTTTCTTTATCTATTTGTCTATTGTACAAGCTTTTGCTTTTTAAAAGGTTTTTTCACCTACATATATTACTTTTGTTTGTTTGTTTGTTTATTAAGACAGAGTCTTGCTCTGTCGCTCAGACTGGAGTGTGGTAGTATGAGCTTGGTTCACTGCAACCTCTGTCTCCCAGGTTTAAGCAATTTTTCTGCTTCAGCCTCCTGAATAGCTGGGATTACAGCCATACACGATCACACCTGGCTAATTTTTGTATTTTTGGTAGAGGTGGGGTTTCACCATCTTGGCCAGGCTGGTCTTGAACTCCTGATCTCAAGTGATCCACTTGCCTTGGTTTTGCAGAGAGCTTGGATTACAACAGTGAGCTGTACCTGGCTGCATTACTTGTTTAAGAGTAAAATGTTTTCAAATCTAATGAACCTTGAAAAGAAAACTCAAGAACTTTCTAGTTATTAACCACATGTAAACAAAAGCAAAAACCATGTACTAAATACTTGATAATCTAAATTAAAGTTTTAAATCTCTGTATGTGAAAACATATTTGAGAGGTAAAAATGCAAATGAGGAAAATTTCTCATTCCTTAGTTGTGACTCCACAGTGGGTATGCTGACCATAAAAAAAAAAAATCACGGAATATTTTAACGTGTGACACTTGAATGTTAATATCTTTTTTTTTTTTTTTTTTTTTGAGACGGAGTTTCGCTCTTGTTACCCAGGCTGGAGTGCAATGGCGCGATCTCGGCTCACCGCAACCTCCGCCTCCTGGGTTCAGGCAATTCTCCTGCCTCAGCCTCCTGAGTAGCTGGGATTACAGGCACGCGCCACCACGCCCAGCTAATTTTTTGTATTTTTAGTAGAGACGGGGTTTCACCATGTTGACCAGGATGGTCTCGATCTCTCGACCTCGTGATCCACCCGCCTCGGCCTCCCAAAGTGCTGGGATTACAGGCTTGAGCCACCGCGCCCGGCCCGAATGTTAATATCTTTAATATATTAGGAGCCTTAACTAACTCAGAAGAAAAATATAAACACCCCAAACAGAAAAATAGTTAAAGGACTTGAGTGAACAGGTACTCACAAAAGAAGAAAAACAATTGCTCAGTACATATGCAAAAAACGTCTAATCTTGCCAATTAGCAAAGAAAAATAAATTAACACAAAACATTTTCCACCTATCAGAATAACAGGTGATAATTTGAGAAAATTATAACTTTCTGTTACACAAAAATTCTACCTCTAAGAATGTATCTTAAAAAAATTAGTGTAAGTGTGGGAAATTTTTATCAGATGGACCTGGATTTCAACAGTGTTCCAAGTTACAAGTAAACAAGGTCAGATGCAATCTGCGTGTTCAACAAGAGGGACCTGACCAAATCAGTGATGGCCCAAATCATTCCATGGAATAAAAGGTAGCCATTAAAATCATAATCGGTCTGGCCACGGTTGCTTATGCCAGTAATCCCAACACTTTGGGAGGTGGAGGCAGGAGGATCACTTGAGTCCAGGAGTTCAAGATCAGCCTAGGCAATATAGCAAGTCCCCGTCTCTATAAAAAACGTAAAAATTAGCTGGGTGTGGTGGTGCGCTCCTGTAGACCCACCTACTTGGGAGGCTTAGGTGGGAGGATTGCTCGAGTCTAGGAATTGGAGATTACAGTGAGCTATGATGGTGCCACTGCACTCCAGCCTGGGCAGCAGAGCAAGACTTCCTCTTTCAACAAAATGAAAATAAATGAAAAGAAAAAGAAATAATTAAAGGAAAAACAAGCTGGTTCCATCTGTAAGGATGGGAGTTGAGGTAGGATCAACACTGAAAACCGATCAGGCGGGTTTGGTCAGCGCTGGCTGTCACCCCCGGGAAGCGCTGCTCATTTCAGTTTTGCCTTCCTCCCTGTGGGCTGCTGGCCACACCTGTCCTCAGCATCCCTTTCTCAACCCCTGGGAGCAGGAGATTTCGGCAATGCTATGTGTTGGTCATGCCACGATATTTTTTCCTTGGGAATAGCTGAGATAACCCAGTGAAATCCTGTTCTGGCAGCTGTTCTGTGCCAGCCACCCTGCCAGTCACTGGGAGGGACACTGACAGGAATAGGTCACAGTCACCGTCTTGGTCACAGAGTTCTTATTGCAAACAATAGAACTTGCTCTAGATGGTTGAGCTAGAAAGTGATTTATTAGAGAATTCGAGCCTCTGCTAAAGGCTCGGAGGCACCGGCTTTGTTGGCACAAGGTCAGGTAGAGCACTGAAACCACACTGCTGCACGGCTCCAGCACGACCACCCTGCTGCCAGTCACAGTCACGGCCCCTGTGTACTGACACTGCACACGGGACTCCAGAAACCCTTGCCCTGAAAGCCAGAACCCTCCACACCATCATTCCAGGGAGATTCTGCGTGATTCCAGTGTCCTTGAACCCTCTGTGAAGAGGCCTTGCTGAGATGAGAGTGTTTGTGGAGCTGAGGTTCATGCTTGTGCCCTGCAGGCAAGGAGGTGAGGGCGGCAAGTCCTAGCCACTCCCAAAGTAAGGCAGAACTTTCCACTTCACACTGAGGCAAGCTCTTGAAACTTGTAGTTTTAAAGAAACCAAGGGGCTACAGTGCATGACGAATGTGCCCCTATTTCCGGGAACTTAGAGTCGATGCCCACTTCAGTCTCATGCAGGTGAAGGCAGAAGTGTGTGGCCCCCGTGGTGAGTGGGGAGGCAGCCAGACAGCACTACAGCTCTTCCAGGAGCAGGAGAGTGACCCCAGGCTGTGTTACAGGTGGTGGGGCTGATTTTAGGAGGGTAGAGGATGGTGCTGGAAAGGGTCACTGGGGCCAGTTCAGAGCTTCAAGGACCCCCTGGTTAGGAGTGTGAACTCTCATCTGTGGGCAGAGGGAAGTCAGGGTCAAATTTCTGGAACTGTAGCAAGTTGTGGTGGGGAGCGGGCAGACTTTTTGGGATAAAATTGTGTTATGAGCTCAACTGCATCCCCCAAAATTCATAGGTTTAAGCCCTCAGCTCCAGTATCGCAGAATGTGACTGTAATGGTGACAGGGCCTTTAAAGAGGGGACTTAAGTAAAATGAGATAGTTGGAGTGGGCGCTAACCCAATGCAGCTAGTGTCCTTCTAAGAAGAGGAAATTCAGACACACAGAGACACCAGGGGTGCGTGCCATGTAAGAGGCAGCAAGAGCCTGGCCTTCTGCAAACCAAGGAGAGAGGCCTCAGAGGAAAACGAGCCTCCCCAACGGCCCGACCTCACATTTCTAGTCTCCAGAACTGTGAGCAAATATGTTTTTTTAGTCAAAGCCACCCAGTTGCGGTGTTCTGTTGTGGTGGCCAGAGCAAACGGCTAAAGTAGTCAGTCCCTCCAGCACGCTCGGAGGTTCCGCTTGTTGCTGTTCCCCAAGGCCATCCTGGCCATGACGAGGGCAGGGGCGGTTGTTTGGGAGGAGACCGCGGTGGAAGGAAGAGAAGGAAGGCTTGCTTGATGCAGCAGGGAGCAGACTCCGGATTCAAGGAGGGCTCTACAAAGGTCCGGCGATTGAGCTTGTCAGGGGAACCTGAGCTGTGTGTAGGTCTTGCTTTCTTGTGTCCTGCAGGATGGCTTGACCCTTTTCTGTTCTCATGCCAGACCCTAAGGGCAGTGTCAACTGGGCCACAGACACAGGCCTGGTGTGCCTGGTGGGCTGTTCTTCTGCCTTCAGGAAGCCCACCTTCACCTCCTGGCTGTTGTGACTGGCATCCCTGAGGCTCTGTTTTTTTGTGTGTGAGATTAAATAAGGACATGTCACATGTCATATGCTAGCAACCCACCAGCACAGAGCAAAGGCTCAGCGAAGAGTTCTCTCCCGCTTTTTTAGGTCACGAACAAATGCAGACCAGGGTGGGGACAAAGTAAACGCATAACCAAGGTGGAGATCTGACTGATTAGTAACTCATAAATCATCTGAAACCATACTTTCCTGTTGGTAGTCAACCCTCTGTAAACACACAATGTGTTCTCACCTTGTTATCATTCCCAATGATCTCAAATGCGTGGTTGCCCTCTCCAGTATAAAAGTTTGATGCGACTTTCCCTAGATGCACCTGCCTGTAAGAAGTCCTGCTTGTCACAATGGTAGGTAACTGGTTTTATATACAAAGGCTGGGAAAGCAAAAAAGAATATGTATTCCTTATTGAATATGCTGTGATGTGTGCTTCTACTGCACAGCATTGAAAGGTAAATATGACCTGGTTAGGAATCTTTTGTTATTACCTGCAATTCAATGTGCAGAGAATGAGAGTCCGGAGCTTGGGAAATTCTTCTTGAGTTTAGGACTGGTTCTGTTCTCTAAGATCCAAGTTGTTTTTCCTTCCAGGACCGATTCACTGAAGGCTCCACCTTCCTGGGCTCAGGTGATTCTCCCAACTCAGCTTCCTGAATAATTGGGACCACAGGCGAGCCACCGTGCCTGGCAAATTTTTGTATTTTTTGTAGAGACAGGATTTTACTATGCTGCCCAGGCTGCTCTTGACCTCCCGGGCTCAAGTAATTTTCCTACCTTGGCCTCCGAAAGTGCTGGAATTTCAGTTAGGAACCACTGTGCCTAGGCAGGAATGAATTTTGCTTCAAAATTTATAGAAACCCATGCAGACTTTTCTTGCATGTTAAACTTAATCTTTCTTAAAATGTTCTTTGCTGGTCTCTAACTGCTGGGTTCAAGTGATCCGCCCACATAAGTCTCCCAAAGTTCCGGAATTACAGGTATGAGCAATTATGCCTGTCCAGACCCCCAACTCTTGATCATGGGTTAAGACACTTCCAGGAGCAGTAATTTACTTAAAGAGACACAACTCTTTTTTTTTTTTTTTTTTTTTTTTTTGCGACAGAGTCTTGCTCTGTCTCCAGGCTGGAGTGCAGTGGTGAAATCTTGGCTCACTGCAACCTCCCACTCCCAGTTCAATAAATTCTCCTGCCTCTGCCTCTGAAGCAGATGGGACTACAGGCATGCACCACCACACTCAGCTAATTTTTGAATTTTAATAGAGACAGGGTTTTACCATGTTGGTCAGGATGCTCTCGATCTCTTGACCTTGTGATCTGCTCACCTCGGCCTCCCAAAGTGCTGGGATTACAGGCATGAGCCACCGTGCCTGGCCCAAGAGACACAACTTCTAAGAGCACTGCCAGTCTGCTTCACCTCAAGGCTGACAATGAAGCTGCACCATCTAGAAAACCCTAGCCCATGCTGGCATGGTGGTGTACACTCCTGTGTCTGCACACATCAGGGGCTCATGGTTACTAAATGCAGGAAAGGAAGACACGAAGGGAGGGAATGCTGGTGGCAGAAGAGAAGACAAGAATGAAAAGGAGCTTTAGAGCCTCTCTACTCAGGGGTGGGCCTCAGACCAGCAGCATGGGCGTCACCTGGGAGCTTCCATGTAAGTCTGTAGACCTACTGAAGCAGAATCTGCATGTTATTGAATAAGCTCTCTGGTCGGGCGCGGTGGCTCATGCCCATAATCCCAGCACTTTGGGAGGTGGAGGTGGGCAGATCACTTGAGGTCAGGAATTTGAGACCAGCCTGGCCAACATAATGAAACTCCATCTCTACTAAAAATACAAAAATTAAGGAGGCATTGTGGTACACACCTGTATTCCCAGCAATTTGGGAGGCTGAGGCAGGGGAATCATTTAAACCTGGGAGGCAGAGGTTACAGTGAGCCAAGATTGCGCCACTGTACTCTAGTCTGGGTGACAGAACAAGACTCCATCTCAAAAAACAAACAAAAACCTCCCAGGAATTTGTATGCACATTAAAGCAGCACTGGGTTGAGCATTGTTCCTGGGTTCTCACCTGGGTAAAGATACGGAGGCACTGGCTGTTTCTTTCTTCAATGAGCCTGAGATTGCGTGTTTCCTATTTGCTCCCTGGGTAACTCTAATGCTTACCCAAGGAGGAGAACCCCTCTTTTTACAGGGGAGGAAAACTGAGCTTCAGAGAGAGAGAGAGAAAGAGAGTCAGTGTCAGGCTATTTCTGAGATACTGTCAAGTGGGAAATCTCTTTTTTTTTTTTTTTTTTGAGACGGAGTTTCGCTCTTGTTACCCAGGCTGGAGTGCAATGGCGCAATCTCAGCTCACCGCAACCTCCGCCTCCTGGGCTCAGGCAATTCTCCTGCCTCAGCCTCCTAAGTAGCTGGGATTACAGGCACGCGCCACCATGCCCAGCTAGTTTTTTTGTATTTTTAGTAGAGACGGGGTTTCACCATGTTGACCAGGATGGTCTCGATCTCTCGACCTCGTGATCCACCCGCCTCGGCCTCCCAAAGTGCTGGGATTACAGGCGTGAGCCACCGCGCCCGGTGGAAATCTCTTAATGAAATAATTTTCTGTCTGCTGTCACCATGTTTGGACTCCATCCCCAGTTGTTCAATCTCGTGCCTTTGCTCTAGAGCTGCGGGAGATTTGGGGATTTTGCACATGTCACTTGTCCTGGGCTGCAGCCCTGCTTGTCCCTGTTGACTCTCCTGCTTTGTGACCCAGTGAACAGGATCTCCAAGATTCTAGTGACCCTCAGGCCCCCCCAGAGCCCTCTTTCTACAAGAAGAGAGTGAAAATACTGTCAACAAGGCTGGCTTTTTTGGGGAAAAAGTTTAGGTTTCCTGGACCCCTTCCTGACACCTTACACTAAAATTAACTCTAGATGGATTAAAGACTGAAACATAATGCCTAACACCATAAAAACTCCAGAAGAAAACCTAGGCAAAACCCTTCAGGACATAGGCAAGGACTTCATGGTTTAAATACCAAAAGCATTGGCAACAAAAGCTAAAATAGACAAATGGGACCTAATTAAACCCCAGAGCTTCTGTACTGAAAGAAACAATCATTGGAGAGTGAACCCGCAACCAAGAGAATGGGAAAAGATTTTTGCTTGTCCCTGTTGACTCTCCATCTTTGTGACTCAGTGAAACAACATCTCCAAGATTCTAGTGATCCTCAGTCCCCCCGGAGCCCTCTTTCTGCATGAAAGGAGTGCAAATACTGTCAACAAGGTGGCCTTTTTGGGGAAAAACATTTAGGTTTCCACAACGATTTTGAACTGAGGGTTATACAAAAGAAGAATGAAACAGAGTAAGTGCCACTCCAAGTCCTGGCTTGAACTGAATATATTAAGGTTTTGAGTTGTTTTTAAAGAATTTCTTTCTTTCTTTCTTTCTTTCTTTCTTGCTTGCTTGCTTGCTTGCTTGCTTGCTTGCTTGTTTGCTTGCTTGCTATAAATGCCATACATTTTACTGTAGAAAATTTAGAAAATAAGAGGGAAAGTCCAAAGAAGAAAATTGTCATAATTCTACCAATCAAAAATGACTTGTTACAAAACCTTCACGGTGTTCTGAGCATCTCTCTCTGCATCATGAGAATCACACATTTCATAGCCTGCTTCACTTCATGTAATGACATGTGATCATTTGCTCAGGTGACTTCACCTTCTACCTTGCTGGCTTGTTAGGTGTTTTTCTGAGTCACTGTTCTCCACCAGCTCTGTTCTTGGGCATTTCGTTTCTTTCCACTTTTTCCACTGCAGTGAGCATCCTTGTGGAGGAGTCCATCTTGGAGATGAAAAGGTGAAATAAAATGTTGTAAACGGTTTTAAGAATGTGGATATATAGTAGCAAATTGCTCTCCGTAACAGTTGTTTAAAGTAATTCATTCTTTTTTTTTTTTTTTAAGATGGGGTTTCATCATGTTGGTCATGCTGGTCTTGACCTCCTGACCTCAGGTGATCCTCCCGCCTTGGCCTCCCAGAGTGTTGGGATTACAGGCGTGAGGCACCGCACCCGGCCCAGAGTATGTCATCCTTGTGCATATCACCTCACATAGATGCCTCTATTTCCTTCTGGGCATTATAAACTCAATGATTTTTTCTTGACATCGCATTATGTTTCTATTTCACCTACATATTTATATTTCTTTTGCTATTAGTAAATTGAACTTTTTCATGTGTTTATTAATCATCTGTGTGTGTGTGTGTGTGTGTGTGTGTGTGTGTGTGTGAAATGCCACTTTATTTTCTTGCCATTTTTCTGTTTAAGATGTTTTTCAGCTGTGCGTGGTGGCTCACTCCTGCAATTCCAGCACTTTCGGAGCCTGAGTTGGGTGGATCACCTGAGGTGGGGAGATCAAGACCACCCTGAAAACTTCGTCTCTACTAAAAATACAAAATAGCTGGTAATGGTGGCTCATGCCTGTAATCCCAGCTTGTCGGGAGGCTGAGGCAGGAGAAGCATTTGAACCTGGGAGGTGGAGGTTGCAGTGAGGTGAGATCGCACCATTGCACTCCAGCTTGGGCAACAAGAGCGAAACTCTGTCTAAAAAAAAAAAAAAAAAAAAAAAAAAAATGTTTTTTAGGCTGGGCATGGTGGACCAATGCCTGTAATCCCAACACTTTGGGAAGCCAAAGTGGGAGGATCACAAGGTCAGGAGATCAAGACCTTCCTGTCTAACATGGTGAAACCCCAGCTCTTCTAAAAATACAAAAAATTAGCAGGGTGTAGTGGCACACAGCTGTAGTCCCAGGTACTCAGAAGGCTGCGGCAGGAGAATTGCTTGAACCAGGGAGGTAGAATTTGCAGGGAGCTAAAAAAAAAAAAAAAAAAAAGGTCTTTTTCCTTTCCCATTGGTATATAATAATATTGTTCTGCAAATTTGATTTCTTTCTAATTTCAGTTATGTTCTTAGGTTTATATTCTGAAATATGTTTTTCTTTTATGCTTAGAATAAGTATTTATGTATGTATGCTGTGATTGTTTTATGATCTATGGTAACAATTTAACTCTTGAATCACTTTAGTTTATTTCACTAATGGGGACTCAAGTAGAAAATTAACTTTGTTTCTTCCCCAAATAGTTAATCACTTGTTCTAATATCATTTATTGAATAATTGTTCTCCACAGATCTCAAAGACCATGTTTATTTTATGGTAGACTTCTATATATAATTATATTTTCTGCTTTTCTAATTTTTCTTTTTCAACGTATCCAATTACCTTTGGAACTTTCTGGGTTTTCTATTTTGATCTCTGTGTTTGTCTTTTTCATTTTTAAAGACAGGGTTTCACTCTGTCACTCAGGCTGGAGTACAGTGGGGCTATCTTGGCTCTCAGCAGCCTTGAACTCCCTGGGCTCAAGCGATTCTCCCATCTCAGCCTCCCAAGTAGCTGACATTAGAGAACATACCACCATGCCCACCTAATTTTTGTATGATTTATTTATTTATTTTTGACACGGTGTTTTGTTCTTGTTGCCCAGGCTGGAGAGCAATGGCACAATCTCGGCTCACCACAATCTCTACCTCATGGGGTCAAGTGTTTCAGCCTCCTGAGTAGCTGGGATTACAGGCATACACCACCACACCTGGCTAATTTTGTTTTTAGTAGAGATCAGGTTTCTCCATGTTGGTCAGGCTCAGGCTGGTCTCAAACTCCCAATCTCAGGTGATCTGCCCCTCTTGACCTCCCAAAGTGTTGGGATTACAGGTGTGAGCCACCACGCCCAGCCTTGATTTTTGTATTTTTGGTAGCAATGGGGTTTCACCATGTTGCCCAGGCTGGTCTTGAACTCTTGAGCTCAAGTGATTTGCCTGCCTCAGCCTCTCAAATTGCTGAGATTACAGGAGTGAGCATTCTGCCCTCCCTATCTTTCTATTCTCTTCTTTTTTTTTTTTTTTTTTTTTTTTTGAGATAGAGTTTTGCTCTTGTTGCCCAGGCTGGAGTACAATGGTGCTATCTCGTCAGTCATCACAACCTCCACCTCCCAGGTTCAAGCAATTCTCTTGCCTCAGCCTCCTGAGTAGCTGGGATTACAGGCATGCAACACCATGCTGGCCTAATTTTGTATTTTTAGTAGAGACAAGGTTTCTGCATACTGGTTAGGCTGGTCTCAAACTCCTGACCTTGGGTAATCCACCCACCTCAGCCTCCCAAAGTCCTGGGATGACAGGCATCAGCCACGGCTCCCACACCCTATCCATCTATTCTTATATGAGCCACATCTACTTCAACTAGCATCACTTCATAATTAATTTTAGGAATCTTACAGAAGAAATGCTTTAATTCCCATTGTCAAAAGACAAAATTACAACATATTTAGTTTAAAGATCTTACTTGACTTCTTTTTTTTTTTTTAGACAGAGTCTCACAGTATTACCCAAGCTGGAGTGCAGGGGCACAACCTTGGCTCACTGCAACCTCTGCCTCCTGGGGCTCAAGCTGATTCTCCCAACTCAGCCTCCTGAGTAGCTGGAATTACAGACATGTGCCACCATACCCAACTGATTTTTTGGTATTTTAGTAGAGAACAGGTTTCACCATGTTGTCCAGGGTGGTTTCAAACTCCTGAGCTCAGGCAATCCACCTGCCTCGGCCTCCCAAAGTGCTAGGATTACAGGCATGAGCCACCACACCTGGCCCTTGATTGACTTTTACTGGTGAGTCCAGAATCTGGCAACACCTCATTCCATAAAATAGATGAAGTGTTCTAAAGAGCTGACCAGAGAGGTTTGTCTTTATAGACAGAAAAGGGCCAGAGAAAGCAGAAACACAGAACAGAAACTGAATAGGTCTTTTTGAAGTGACTTTGCTTATAAACGTTAAAGCAGAAGGGACTTTCTTATCATAGTCAGCTAAAACTTGGCCTGTTGGGCATTTGGCTATTACCTCTCAGTCTCTCCTGATTTCTTAGAAGGTTGAATAAGCAACTTAGTTCTGGCTTAGTAGCAGAGAACTTCAGCATGGGCAACTGCGTTTTGGTTTTGTCTATTCAGCCTGGTGCAGGAGCTCAGTCCAAACCAATGGCCTCCTATATATTTCATTGAACACCATCTTCCCTATCAAAAGTTCCCAGAAATTAACATATTAAGGTTTGTTTTTTAGCTCATCTCAAAAAGATGACAAGGTCAACTAGATACTTTTCCTTGTTCTACAATTTCAGCCTAGATTAACTGGTTTGTTCATGGAGCCATCAAAGATGCCTTTATGATCTGGGAAATGAACTTCCTAGCCTCACCGTCTGTGTTCACAGCATGTGGCCCCAACCTATTTTTCCACTCATATCTCCAATGAATCCAGTTAACGACAATAAGCCTTCAGCTATATATGTTTGTTGCTTCTCTTCTCTATCTTTGTTAACATTTCATTCTTTTCATGAAACTCCTGATTCTGTCCTTTAACTCTTATATATTCTGCAAAGAGGCTAAAGATTGCCTTATCTATAAAGGTCTCCTGAACTTCCTCTGCAGTGAATCAGCCCACATGTCATTACTGCCCTATGCCTGTTGACTCCTGTTTGCCTCTTTCTGTAGTTCATGCTAGTGACTTGTGCGGGTCTTGTTCCCTGACTAAGTCACCCGCGGTTAGGAGCTCCACCTCATAACCTCTCACCAGAGCCCAGCAGAGGTCCTGGTACACAGCACTCAGTAAAGGATTATCCTCTGAATTAATTCATTCTTCACCCTGACCTTTCTTCACATTACAGAACGTTCTCCTGGGAAGACTTGTGATCTTTGCCACCTTTGTGACTTTATGCAATGCATCATGCTATTTAATACTGAATGACATAGTTCCAGGAGAGTCAACCAAGGGTAAGTCTTGACTTTTCAATGTTTATTATTTTATTGCAGCCTGGTAGATGGACCTGTCTGCAGATGAAAATCTTCGTGTTTGTTGTTGTTGCTGTTTGTTTGAGACAGTCTCACCCTGTCTCCCAAGGTGGAGTCAGTGGCGAGATCTCGGTTCACTGCAACCTTCTCCTCCCGGGAACCAGTGATTCTCCCACCTCAGCCTCCCAAGTAGCTGGGACTGCAGGTGCCTGCCATCATGCCGAGCTAATTTTTGTATTTTTGGTAAAGATAGGGCTTTGCCATGTTGGCCAGGCTGGTTTCGAACTCCTGACGTCGGGTGATTCACTCGCCTCAGCCTCCCAAAGTGTTGGGATTATAGACACGAGCCACTGTATCTGGCCTCACCTGGAAGGCCTTGTAAGAATACGGTGTCCTGGGACCTACACCCAGAGATAGATTTCATTGTTCTAGGGTAGGGCTGAGACATATGAGGTGTTTCTCAAGTACCCAAGATGTTTCACATGTGCACCCAGGGTTGAAAACCACCGATGCAAAGCAAAGGGAAGTGTCGAAGTGAGATATTGATTGAGAGAGAATCCAGCGGGAGAAACCTTGGTCCCAAGTACCCCTAGGGTCCTATGGCTAACTCATTCAAGAAAAAGGCCTTATTTTTCTTGAAATACCGGTTCTGCAATAAAACTCAGAAGGATGTAAGCTTTCTGTAAGAAAACTTTATCAGTAGCATGAATTGAACAGTACTGGCGTTAGCCATGGATAAATCCAAGAACACCATTCTTCGATATCTTTATAAGCAATGAGCTTCTCCCTCTCTGGGAAGGGTACAGATAGCAGGGGCTGGACTCAGTATCATGAAAGGCCTTATTCTCATTGTATGACTTGCGCTGATGACGTCGTATGTATGGTTTTAGAATGCACGGATCTTAAAGGAAACAAACACCCAATAAACTCGAGGTGGCGGACTGACAACTGTGACATATGTGCTTGCCGAGAGAAAGAAATATCATGTTGCTCTCTGTAAGTCTGATCAGAATCTGTTGGGGAAGGGCTAGGAATCTGAATTTTAACAGGTGCCTTGAGAGTCTTATGAGGACACTGAGTGGAGAAGCAAGCTCTTGACTTAGATCAAAACACCTGAGTCCTACTTGAACTGTCTGGAGAGTTCCAGCCACATTTATTGAGCAGGACCCATGCTAGATGCCTACTGGAACAAGAGGAATATTGGACTGGGAGTTGTCTAGCTGCTCAGAGGAGGCTTTCCCAGGCATCGCATTAGCTGGGTCACTGGGTATTACAGCTGGGCCTTGATTTTGTGGCTCCAGAGATTTGACATTGTCATCATAACAAGTGTTGATGTCACTCTGGTGGAGTGTGATTGTATCCCAGCCAGGTGAAGTATTGGTGACTGGTCCCTCCCTAACATAGGAGCACAGCTCCCTTGTGGCTAAAGCATCCATGTCACCCAGATTTGGCATCCCTGACCTCTCCTAGGATTTTCCACTGTAGGCTTGGATTCTTGTGGGCCTGGTGCGGAAAAGGGCCAGGTCGCTCCTTGCAGGGAATAGGGAAGAACCTCGATATTGGAGTCAGAGTAACTTGAGTCTGAATCTCCATTCCCTTGTATACTAGCTGTGTGAGCCTGAGTAAGTTTCTGAATGTCTCTGAGCCTCTGTTTCCTCACAGTATAATCAGGGGTAATCAGGTGGCTCTGAGAATTAAATGAGATTCTGCATATACATTGTTTAACCCAACAAACACTTAAAGCCTTCTCTGTGCCAATTCTGTGTCCTGTGAGCCTGGGGCAGTAACTGACACCTGGTCAGGTTTCAAGGTGCCCTTTCCTTTCTCCTGCCATGTTGCGTATTCCACTTAGCACAGCGCTCCACAAGGGGGAAATGAACCACCCCTTCTTCCCTGGAATTGCCTCACTTCCTACCAAGTTTGTTTTTCTCATGAACTTTTTTCTCCTCCATGGAAATATACAGACTTTGATAAAGCTTTTTCTGGAAGAAGTTTTTGGACCCACTGCATCCTCTACAGGACACTGCCCAGATCTCAAGGTGCTCGGTGGCAGTGGAGCCTGAGGCTGGGGGCCCAGGCAGAGGCTCCCCGGCAGGGCGTGGGAGATGTCCTGGCCTCCACGCCGCCCGGGCCCAGCCCAGGGTTGGCTCCCTGACTTGGGTGAGGAAAAGGGAGTGGGACACAAAAGGCCAAGGCCACCCGACCGCTGGGTCTGGATAGCTGAACAGCTGATGTTGACAGTTTCTCCTCCCCCTCTCTCTGCTGCTTCACCTACAGAGCTAAGTCTGGTTTGAACTGAAATAAGCATCCAGTAATATGCCCTTTGCCCTATCAACTTATATTTGCACATGGGCAGCAGAGATTCACCATTTCACTTCCTACCACGAACCAAAAGAGTTGTAACTCTTTGGCCAAGCATGGTGACTCACGCCTGCAATCCCAGCACTTTGGGAGTCTGAGGTGGGTGGATCACCTGAGGTCAGGATTCCAGACCTGCCTGATCAACATGGAGAAACCCTGTCTCTACTAAAAATACAAAGTTAGCTGGGTATGGTGGCACATGCCTGTAATCCCAGCTACTCAGGAAGCTGAGACAGGAGAATCACTTGAACCCGGGAGGTGGAGACTGCAGTGAACCCAGATCGCACCATGGCACTTCAGCCTGGGCAGCAAAAGCGAAACTCCATCTGAAAGAAAAAAGAAAAGAAAAGAAAAGAAAGAATTGTATCTCTTCAACAAATACCACTTTATTTTTAACTTTTATTAATTGTGGTAATATGTATACTACATAAAATGTGCCAGTTTAACCATTTTAAAACATAGAATTCAGTTGCATTAAATACAGTCACAGTATTATGCAACCATAAACACTATTTCCAAAACTTTTTAATGACTCCAACCTGAAACTATATCCAGTAAACAGTAACTCAGAGTCTCCATCCCACAAAACCCTTGGTAACCTCAAATCTACTTTCTGTCTCTATGAATTTGCCTAGTCTAGATACTTCATATAAATAGAATCACACTGTGTTTGTCTTTTTGTGTCTGGCTTATTTCACTCAGCATGTTGTCAACGTTCATTTATGTCGTAGCATCTATCCGTACTCCATTCCTGTTTCTGCCGGAATAATATTCCATGGCATGGCTAGACCACATTTTGCTTATCCATTTATTTGTTGATGAACACTTGAGTTGCTTCCACCTGTTGGCTAAAGTAAGTAATGTTGTTCTGAACATTGTCAATACACAAACATTGGCATATAACGTTGAGTCTCTGCTTTGAATTCTTTTGGGATATGCCTAGGAGTAGCTTGCTGGGTCATATGGTAATTTTTTGTTGACCTTACTGAAGAGCTGCCAAGCTGTTTTCCACAGCAGCGGCACCATTTTGCATTCCTACCAGCCAACAATCACCTTTAAACATGAAAGGATTTCAATGACATTTTCCCCAATTTTCTAAGTAAAACATATGAATTATAGAACCATTAGAGAGTATAGGAGAAAAAAGAAAAACCTACTCATGATCCTGACTGCTTAAAGGTAATAACAGTTAATATTCTATCATATTTATTTATTTATTTTTACTAGAGAATTGAGACAGTCTCTCAGTATGTTGCCTGGGCTGGTCTCAAACTCCTGGGCCCAAGCTGTCCTCTCACCTCAGCCTCTGGAGTAGCTGGGATTACATGTATGTGCCACCATGCTGGGCCTCTATCATGATTTCTTTCTTTCTTTCTTTCTTCTTTTTTTTTTTTTTTTTTGAGGCAGAGTTTCACTCTTGTTACCCAGGCTGGAGAGCAATGGCATGATCTTGGCTCACCACCACCTCCGCCTCCTGGGTTCAGGCAATTCTCCTGCCTCAGCCTCCTGAGTAGCTGGGATTACAGGCACGCGCCACCATGCCCAGCCAATTTTTTGTGTTTTTAGTAGAGACGGGGTTTCACCATGTTGACCAGGATGGTCTTGATCTCTTGACCTCGTGATCCACCCGCCTCGGCCTCCCAGTGTGCTGGGATTACAGGCGTGAGCCACCATGCCTGGCCCTATCACGATTTCTGTATGTCTCCTTTCTACATTTCTTTTCTTGCACATAGTAGCTATCAAATTTTGTATCACAATTCTGTGGATTGATTTTTCCACTTAATGTTCTAGCATTGGGCTAGGCATGGTGGCTCACACCTGTAATACCAGCACTCGGGAGGCCAAGGTGGGCGGATCATGAGGTCAAGAGACTGACACCATCGTGGCCAACATGGTGAGACCCCCATCTCAACTAAAAATATAAAAATTACCCGGGTGTAGTGACTCGCACCTGTAATCGCAGCTACTCAGGAGGCTGAAGCAGAAGAATCACTTAAACCTGGGAGATGGAGGCTGCAGTGAGCTGGCATCGCACCACTGCACTCCAGCCTGGGTGACAGAGTGAGACTCTATTTCAAAAAATTAAAAATAAGTAAATACATAAAAAAAATTCTAGCATTCGTACCATCTGATCTCATCAGAACTCTTCAAAATATTTGTATGTACCACAGCTCAATTAGAGGTGGTGTCTGACTTTTATCAGCTTCTCCCAGGGCTCCATGACACTGGTCTGAGTGACTCTTTAATCTGGTTGGTTGAGAGAGCTCCTTTGCTAACAGGCCTCCAAGCCAGGGCTGGGACAACTGTTCCCTTTCCACATTTGGGCAGAGCCAGCTTGGAACAAGCTGCCTAGCTCCAGAGTAGCCAGACTTGCTCTTTGGCTGTCAGCACCCACCGCTGACCTTCTGTGCCTGCAGGTTGGAATGTAGGGGTGGGCTGTGTGACTCTATGGTACAGATTGGTCCATGTTCCCGGAGGCCACACTCTGGAGCTGCCACCCAAAGGGTGCCCTTAAGTTGGTGAAGGCACCCCAGCTAGCTGCAGCGTGAGTGGCTTCCTGGAGAGAGCTGGGATGCTGGGGGTCCTTTCTCCTCTAACAGGCTCCAGTTTTGTCTCAATGACAGTGTTTCTACACCTGTGGGTTATGACATACACAAGTGCCGGAAAATCTTCAACAAGGAGGAATGCAAGTTAATTGTGGTGGAGAAGAAGGACCCAAATAAGACCTGTGATGTCAGTGGATGTGTATTGTAATGTGCGTCTTGTAGGCACAGGGCTCCCAGGCCAGGCCTCATTCTCTGGCCTCTAATAGTCTATGATGGTGTATCCCTGCCTATCAGTAAAAGATTTTTGAGCAAACACTTGAATATGTGTGTACTTTTAATTTATAACCTAAGTATGCATTAATTTAGTACACATTGTAAAGCATACAAAACATTTAAAAAGGGAGACAAAAATACATATGAATGGCTGAGCACAGCGGCTCATGCCTATAATCCCAGCACTCTGGGAGGCTGAGGTGGGCTGATCACTTGAAGTCAGGAGTTTGAGACCAGCCTGGCCAAAATGTTGAAACCCTGTCTTCCCTAAAAATACATAAATGCAGCCGGACTCGGTGGCTCAAGCCTGTAATCCCAGCACTTTGGGAGGCCGAGATGAGTGGATCACGAGGTCAAGACATTGAGACCACCCTGGTCAACATGGTGAAACCCCATCTTTACTAAAAATACAACAGATTAGCTGGGCATGGTGGCGTGTGCCTGTAATCCCAGCTACTCAGGAGGCTGAGGCAGGAGAATTGCCTGAACCCAGGAGTCGGAGGTGGCGGTGAGCCGAGATCTCGCCATTGCACTACAGCCTGGGTAACCGTCTCAAAAAAAAAAAACAAAAAAAAAAACCAAAAAAAAAACATAAATGCCAGGCATAGTGGCAGGCACCTGTGGTCCCAGCTACTCTGGGGGCTGAGGCAGGAGAATCACTTGAACTCGGGAAGGGGAGCTTGAAGTAAGTTAAGATCACACCACTGCACTCCAGCCTGGGTGACAGAGTGAGACAACGACAAAAAAAAAAAAAAAAAAAAAAAAAAAAAGAAAAAATCTAAACCCAAACAAAACAAACAAAAGCAAAATACATTTAAATAAAAGTTCTATTTTTCCTAACCTGTGTAATAGGTCATTGTGCATACCTTACTTGGGGGACCGCTGCCACTCTTGCTGTTTGTGATGTCTAAACTCTGCTGCCCATGTCATGCTGGCTGGTAAACATTAAAAAAAATGCGTGTCTTCAAGCTGAAATTAGATCCCTTTTCTTTAAGGTGTTCTTGCTTATCCCTCCTTCCTCTACATCAGGAAGTGTCTTCTATGATGTGTCCCTCACATTCCTTGTGTTTGCCTGAGGTGAAAGCAGGTTAGAACATGACAGCCTGAACAAGTGCCCCCAAGGCCGCATGCAGCCCGAGGGGAATTCAAGGCCAGGGGCTCTGCCTTGCTGATGGAGAGTGGCCTGGGAGCAAGGCCTCAGCATCAGTTTATCTCCTGCTATACACAGAGCACCCAAAACTTAATGCCTTAAAACAATGACAATGTCTATTCTCTTTTGACCGTTTCTGTGATAGAGAACATTTGTTCACTCAACAGGTCTGTACTGAGCACCTGGGCCAGGCAGTGCTCTGGACCTGGGGATACAGCAGTGAACCAGAGAGATCTCAGGAGAGAACCCTGCTCTCCTGGGGCTTGGAGTCATCTGTGTGTACGTGACAGATCAGAAATGGGCAAACAGTCATCTGTTGAACAGTCAGTGGGCAACTGATAAACAGCTTTATTTTCCCCTGTCCCCCATCTGTTTAAACATGCTATGTGGGCCAGTTGAGCAATCTAGACAGGTCCCTTAGCTTTTTTGGTCAGCTTCAGATAATTTAAAAGGGTGGTCTGAGTTACATTTTGAGTTATATGAAGTCTCCTTCCAGGGGCTGCATCTGAACTGAGAGGGAATGGGGGACAGGAGAGTTAAGGGCTCCTTCTGCCTGAGGTCATGTTCTAGGCTGACTTCCTCTGGGACTTTTGTGGGACTCTCTTTCCACAGCTCCCCTTCCACTCACAGCCTATGATTGTTGTCTTAGCCTCTGCATCAGAACCTACTCTCCTGTTGTTTTGTAATGAGGTTGCCTTGCCCCTTGTAGGAGTCCCTCCTGGGTGGGATCCATAAAACCCTGCTACGATCTTCTCCTTTGCTGGGGAAGGTGGGGAAGCAGTTGCCAACCGTGTATGGAGGACCTCTGTCGAAACTGAGACAGAAAGAAGTACTATTTTAACATCTAGTCACAAGTAAATAATGTGAGTTATAATCTGGGCTGTAGGCTGGATGTGGTGACTCAGGCTTGTAATCCCAGGTAAGGTGAGAGGATTGCTTGTGCCCAGTTTGAGAGCAGTCTGGGCAACACAGCAGGATCCTGTCTCCACAGAAAAAATGTTATAACCTGGTATCATGGCACACGTCTGTATGTAATCCCAGCTACTCAGCCGGTTGAGGCAGGAGAATCACTTGAACCCAGGAGACAGAGGTTTCCACGAGCTGAAATTGCGCCACTGCTCTCCAGCCTGAGCAACACGGCCAGATCCTCTATCAAAGAAAAAAGAAAAAAAGCATCTTGGCTCTGACTATTAATTTACTCAAGCTTTTTTTTTTTTTTTTTTTTTTTTTTTTTTTTTTGAGATGGAATCTCGTTCTGCCTCCCAGACTGGAGTGCAGCGCCGAGATCTCAACTCACTGGAACCTCCGCCTCCCAGGTTCAGGCTATTCCCCTGCCTCAGCCTCCTGAGTAGCTGGGACTACAGGCACGCGGCACCACGCCCAGCTAGTATTTTGTATTTTTAGTATAGTCGGGTTTCACCATGTTACCCAGGATATTCTAGCTCTCCTGACCTCGTGATCCACTCGCCTCGGCCTCCCAAATTGCTGGGATTACCGGCGTAAACCCCCGCAGCGGGCATATTTACTCAATCTTTAGAAAAAAAATGTGGCAAAGGTGTAATCATGCATAATATGGCCTTTTGCGTCTTATGATATTCTCTTTTGTATCTAAACGTTCAAGCTAAATAATCCCTACTTTGTGAGTACATCTGAATCACTTGGGATGGTCCGCACAGAATTCGCCTTAAAAAAAAAAAAAATTTTCGCTTCATTTAATTTGATTTATTCACGGAGGGCGAAAGGACACTGTGCAAGGGCGGGAGGGAGTGTGCCCCTGAGCTCTGCACCTTCTACAGGGTAGTCAAGGGCTTCGGGCGGACCACAGCAGAGATCTCGCCAGACTGTCAGGCTGATGGCGTTGGCCGCCGCATCCAGCCGAAATGCTCCTTTTGACAACTGCTAAAACCAAGGGACATTGAAAGTCACTTACAAAGCTCATCAAAAGAGTGGCAGTGAGCTAACGGTATGGTGGCTCACCCTGTAATCCCAGCACTTTGAGAGGCTGAGGTGGGTGATCGCTTGAGGCCAGGAGCTGGAGATCAGTCTGGACAACATAGCAAGACCCCCATCTCTACTAAAATTAAATAAATCAGGTGCGGTGGACCCCGCCTGTAGTCCCAGCTACTCAGGCGTCTGAGGTAGGAGGATCACCTGAGCCCCCGAGGATGCAGTGAGCTAAGATCGAGCCACCTGCACCCCAGCCTGGGTGAGAGGGCAAAACTCTGTCTCTTTTTAAAAGTTCTCTTTGGTTGTCAGTCTACAAATATCACAGAGCACGGGTTAGATAACCAGCCACCACTCTTATTCAAAAATCCTGTTCGTTTAGGACTCTGGAATTACAGCTCTAAGGGAGCTTCCTGGGGCCCCCGACATGAAGAATCTCACTAAAGGATACCCACATACTGACCTGTCTCCCACCCCAACAAGAATCGCCTCCCTAGTGCCCGAGCAATCCCTCCACGTGGCGGAAACGGATCTCCCCTCTGCATGGAGCTGAGCGGCCCTGCCAGAAAGCCCAAGGAAGGGAACGCCGCGTCTGGGCCGCGGGCCGCGTCCGCCCCTCTCCCCGGCGGCCGGGGGGCTGCCAGGCTGGCATTCTCCGGGGCTATGAGGGGCCTGTGCTCCTAAGAGGGCGGGCAACCCGGCGGCCCGGGTGCAGGGGCAGTCGCCGCCCCGTCCTCCCGCGCAGGCCGAGCGTCACCCCTGCCGCCCTCGCGTCCCCGGGCCCGCCTCTCACGCCCGCGGGGGTCATCCGGTTCATCTGCAGCGAAAAAACCCAGGAGACAGGCTGAGCCTGAGGGCAGCAGGGACGCTGGCCCCAGCCCCGACGGTTCCCTCTGTGGCCAAGCCTGCCGCCCTCACCATCCCAGCCTCCCCAGGCTGGTTGCTAACTCCTGACCTCAGGTTTTTCCACCCGCCTCAGCCTCCAATTTGGCTATTTTTTTATTTTGTAGAGATAAATTCTTACTATGTTTTCAAGCAATCCCTCTACCTGGGTCTCCCAAAGTGCTGGGATTACAGGTATGAGCCACCACACCTGGCCTAAAAATGTATTTTTTATCCATATGTCTTTGTCAAAATTGCGATAAAGAGAAACATACGGGCAGTGGTATGCATTTGAAGAAAAATGGGAGAAAGCATATTTACTTAGGATGTTGTGGGAACTGAGGGACAGGAGAGACCCATGGACCAAACAGGAGGATTTTACTAAGGTGGTCACCGGCTCAGCGGATTAGCATCCCAGGGCTGAGCCCTGAACATAGACAGGGCTTGACTTTCTGCAGGTGACTGAAGGGGGTTAGGCATTCAGTGGCCCCAAACTTGCAAGGCGGGAAAGGAGCTTACAGAGGCAGGACAAAGATAGTTTATTAAGTGGTGACCGCTGTTGCAACTTAGGCAAGACTTAATGACCTTCGGTATACATTACCGGTGGGAAAACAGGAACTTACTTAACTTTTACTGCAAATAGTTACTCAACAGAAAAAGAACAGGCCTGGGAAATAGAGGGTACTTATTAAACTTGTCCTTATCTCTGTTCTGGGGGAGACTTTGGGGCCGGTACTTTGAAGGCTCTGGCTCCTGAAGCTGTACTAAATCACTAGGCTTGTTAACATCTATTGGAATTTCTTGTTGTAAAGGTGGGGAAGGGGTCTGAACACATTGTCAAGGGAGGAGGAATGGGAAGGAGAAGGCTGTGGGATCCCCTGCAGAAAGGCCCCATGCTGGTGGCAGCCCCACCTGCTACTCCAGGGCTCAAAGGTGCTTAGATCTCTTCACCTGAGTGCAGTTGCTGCCGGCCCTTTGGGCAGGTGTGTGAGGGAGGCAGCCCCAGCTGTAAAGAGAGCACTGGCTTTTGGGTCAATAGGCCTATTATATAACTGAATTGGGGT